CAGCGATATCACGATTCCCAAAATCCATGCTGATTCCCAAAGCACATGGTACCACCTTGCATATAAAATCTTTAATATGGGCTTAAAAACACTTCCCACATTGTGTTAAATACATACCACACAATTCAAAAACATTAATCAGTGCAATCTGTTAAACAGATGCAGAGAGTAATAAACTGTCTTTTCAGTACAATCTTCAAATCACTTCTATAATGTTTTCCACCCCCAGGAATGTGAAAACTATAAATATCTTGGAACAAAATCATTTCAAATTTCTTGTCCAACCGCCCCCTACAATCCCTCAAAGTGGTTGCATTTTTTTCCCAGTTAAGTAAAAATTATCAATTCTCTGGAGCATCAAGTTCTATTTTATTGGTGAAGGGGGGGGTGGCTAGTCGAGAAGAGAAGTTGGTGGAGGAGGAGGAGAGGATGGAAGAAAGACAAGGAAAAGAAAGAGGGAGGGGAGGAGGAAAATGTATTTTCGAGCAGTTTCAAATCAGTCATGGGCTTGAATTAAGAAAAAAAGGCTATTTTTAGAACATTATGATCAAGTTCTAATACTTCTGACATACCAAAAAAAGCAAGCTTTCTTCCAAGTCAAAGTAAAATATTAACAAGACAAAGAAAAAAAATCAAGTGTTAAGAAGAATCTACCTATAAGCAAAAACCAGAACATTGGTTTCTAAACTATGCCTCTTGATTACCTCTTGTTTGGACACAATGATAGCTTATGAATATTAAGAATAGTTCTGTAAGAGTGATAAAGACAGTCCTTCTTATGCAGATCACATGCCTTTAAGAATGGAGTCTGTAATAAGGTTTATCCATATTACTTTAAAATGAAGTAAAATGCCATTCGCACAATGATTTCACTTGATGAAGCCATTTTGCCAGAGCAAAAACATACGGGGCCTTGTATGATCATCTTCAAGTCTGAGAAACAATGAGTGGCAAACATTATCGATTTGGGGAAAAAAAGTTACGTCTTCAGTAAGCAATATTTGAATTAAACAAAGAAATGCAGCTTTGCAAGTTACAGAAGTATAGAGTAAGGGCTGGAAGGTGTCTTAGGGCCAGCCTAGGATCTTTGCTTCTTTCTAGAAGGCTTAAGTGATTCAGCCAAAATTAAGTTAGTAGCAGAGCTGGCATGCCACTCCACCTTAGGACTCAAATTCAGTATCGGCTGCTCCCCCAGGCAGGACAGGTAGGTGTGTGCTGTGCTCTGAATTGGTGTCCAAGTTCCACGTTGAAATCCTGATGCTCGCTGGGATGGAATGGGAGGTAAGTGGGGCCCTCGGGGTGCTTAGGTCATGAGGGTAGAGCCCTCATGAATAGGATGAGTGCTCTTTGAGTACTCAAAGAGGTCCCTAGCCCCCTCCAGTGAGGACACAGTGAGAAGTTTCTGTTGTTGATAAGCTACCCAGGCTGTGGTATTTTATTAGGGCAGCCTGAAAGGACTAAGACAATGTGGGAAATAAGTCTGGCAGTTTACCAAGCGCTCTAATCTAAAGGCTTCGTTGGGTCTGCTTCAATAAATACAACTCATGGCTACAAGCAACCACACATAAATCTAGGGTTTCAAGTCAACCTGGTCAGAAGTCAAGTCCTCGCTGAGCACCCAAACAGGGAATGTAGAAGTAGGAGACACGTTCTTTATACCCAAAGAGCTACAAGCTACTTGAGAAGAGCAAGATACCACCTGAAACAACATCAAAGTCATAATGAGATATGGCTCAAATTACTAGCATTAAAGGATTCCAGAAAAGGCCCATGAAGACTAAATATTAAATTGAATGGGTTCAGAATTCCATCTCCAGCCACAAGAGAGTAACAACTGGAACAGGACCGGCCTTTCCTGAGAAACTCTTTCAGGGAGTTAGAGAATAGGCACCCCAGGACTGTGATCCTTGAAAGAAGGAAAATGAAAGAGGTAAACACTGTGACCCCCAATTTCTGTCTAGAAGCATTTACCAAATTCCAGTGCACAGGTGTAAATATAGAGCATGAGCTTGTAGAGCTGTGAAGATAAAATATGAGTTCAAGGAGGCTGAGATATGCAATGCAGCACCTGAAAGAAAGGAGCTCTACAGAAAAAGAGGTCCAAAAACCTTCAGAGGGCTCCGTGTGTGTGTCTTTGGCTCAAGACTAAGCTATGTATTCATAGCATGAAACTCCATGAGCTAGGCAAAGAATCAATAGGGAAAGAACAGTTACTGGAGTCCTGTTAGCTATACAACTAGCAGGATTCTCACAGGGCTGGGGGATGGTCAAAATGGGAACAGCTCTCATGGAGAAAACTCATTCCACCCCAAGAGAATTCTCTTAGGAATAGGGTCTTTCTACACCTGGAGGAAAGGCTGCTCTCCCGGCCCTAGGAAAGCCCTAAAAGCTCCAGAAGAATCAAACTGTCCAAACTGAAGGAGAAATAAAAAACATGCAATTGTATCTGGAGGCTTTAATGCTCTTCTCTTGGTAATTGATATAACAAGCAGACAGAAAATCAGTAAATACACAGAATTCTTAAGCAACACAATCAACCAATATGACTTAATTAATATTTGTAAAACATTACAGCCAATCACCAAAAGGTGTACCTTTTTCAAGGGTACATTGGCTAAGATAAATTGGGTCATAAAACAAGTCTAGATACATTTAAAATAATTGAAATCCAACAGAGCATATTCTCTGACCACAACAGAATTAAGTATAACAAAAAAATCTGGAAAATCTTCAAGTATTTGGAAATTATGCACTTCTAATTAGCACAAATGTCAAAACTAAAAATAAAAAGGATATTGAAAATATTTTCAACCAAATAAAAAAGAGACATTGTGACATATCAAAATATGTGAGATGCTGCTCAGTATTTTACCGAGCAAAATTTTATAGTGTTAAATTTTATAGTGTTAAATGTCTGTATCTAAAAAAAAAAAAAGAGATATTGCAACCCAAACATCTAAGCTTACATCTTAAGAAGCTAGAAAATGAGCAAACTAAACCCAAAGTAAATAGAAGAAAATAGAGGTACAAGCAGCGATCAATGAAACAAAGAAACAATAGGGGAAAAAATTTAAGAAACCAAAATCTGGTTCTTTCAAAGATAAATAAAATTGACAAGAGTCTTACTAATGAAGATGAAAAGAGAGTAAGCACAAATTGGCCATATGAGGAAAATCTTATAGACAATAAGGAAATATCATGAACAAGTTTAGGCCAATAAATTAGACAATTTATATGAATTGGACAAATTTCTTAAAAGACACAAATGGCCAAAACGAACACAAGAAATGTAGAAATTGGAATGGCACCATTTCTGTTCCGGTTTGCCAGCCCCCAACCCTGTTTTGACCTGCTCTGTGATACTGGAGCTGGGATCTATGAACGTTTCTCTTTTGCCAGGTAGCACAGGGGTACTGGAGGTGCCACTGCAGGAGATGGGAGCTTGCCATCCTTGTCCCAGGGGGCTTTTCCTCCTGGCTCCAGTGGTGTGTGGCCGCTAGAAGCATTTGGTACACTCAGTGGTGCACCCCTCCCAGGAAGGCTGGGATGAGCAATGGTATTTACAGGTCAACAGAAGAAAAGCAACTGTTTCTATGTATGCATTCAAAGGGGAAATTTTTTTAAAATATCATTGACAACAGCATCAAAAAACCATAAAATATTTAATGATAAATTTAAAAACTTTTTTTAAATAAATGCAAAACCTGGTCCCCACAGAAAACTACAGAAATGGCTAAAAGTATGGAATGCCTAAAACTGTGGAGGTGGAACATGTTCATGGATTGAAGGGTTGACACCAGTAAGATATCCATTCTCTCCATATTGAACTGTAATTTTAATGTAATCCCAAATAAAAATTCTAGAAGCTCTTTGCAGAAATATGTAAGGTGAGTCTAAAATTTATATGGACACTTTATGTTTACCTTTATTAGCCAAAACAATTTTGAAGAACAAGTTGAGAGGATTTAAACTGAGCTCAACATTGACTATAAGGCTACGGAAATAAAGACAGTGTGGTATTTGCTTAAGGATAGACATATAAATCCATAGAACAGAATACAGTGTTTATTTCTGGATGTACACATACATAGTCAATTGATTTTTTGACAAAGGATGGTCTTTTCAACAAAGGATATTCAAAATGTATATATATATACATATATATGCAAATATATATATATATATTTATATTTCCTATGTATTTAGGGAAAAAAAAGAGCCTCAACCCTTACCTCTCAGCATATCCAAAAAGTAATGCCAAATGGTTCACACCCTTTTTGAGGGACTCCATGCTCAGTATCCTTGGGATTCTCTGCCTTTTCCTCTCCCTCTCCCTCGGCACCTCCTCACCTCATTCATCTGTTCCCTCTCTTTCAAATAAATAATTTTTTTAAAAAAAAATTGCATCTGAAATATGTACAGAGCCCTTACAACTCAGTAGTAAGACACAAAACCCAATATTTTAAGTGAGCAAAGGATGTGAACATTTTACAAGAGAAAATATGAGCAATGATTAGGTCTGGAAAAAGATTCTCAACATCTCATGCACCTACTAACACACCCACACACTTAAAATCAGAAAGAATAACAATATGAAGCATTGACGAGAATGTAGAACAACTGGGACTCTCAAACACCACTGATGGGGGTACAAGATCATACAACGGATTTGGAAACCAGTTTGGCACTTTCTTGTAAAGTTATTCATACACTTCCCTGAAGATCCAGCAGTTTCACTCTTTGGCATTAAGAAATGAAAACAGGGGCACCTGGGTGGTGCAGTTGGTTAAGTGTATAACTCTTGCTTTTGGTTCAGGTCATGACCTTGGAGCTATGAGATCGAGCCCAAAGTCAAGCTTTGTGCTCAGCAGGGAATCTGCTTGAGATTCTCTCTCTCTCTCCCTTTCCCTCTGCTCTCCTGATTTTCTCTCTCTCTAAAATAAATAAATCTTAAAAAAAAAAAAAGAAATGATAACATATGGCCACACAAAGACTTGTACACAAATGTTCATAACAGGTTTATTTGTGATTCCAAAAAGTTAGGGAGAAGGACAACAAATTGTGGTATAACCATACAATGGAATATTCTTTGAAATAAGAAGTAAATCATTAATATACATTACATAGCAACATAGACAAATCTCAAAAGCATTATGCTGAATGAAAGAAACCATTCACAAAAGAGTACATAGTGTAGGATGCCACTTTTATAATGTTTTAGAACAAAGAAAACTTATCGGCAGCAACAGAAATCCAATAGATGGTTGCCTGAGATGGGGGCAGGTGAGAGATATAACTGCACAGGTACACATAAGAACTTTCTAGGGCATATGGAAATGTTCTATATCTTGGTTGGAGTGTTGGTTTTGTGGGTGTATCTACTCATCAAGACTCACTGAATTGCATACTTTAAATGGGAACGTTTTATTGTATGTAAATTATACAATAAAGTTAACTTAAAAAAATCTGTAGAGACCTTAAGTGGAAATCACTTAGACTTGGATTTAATTTAAAATTTTTTTCTATAGTCTGATATATTCTAATAGTTTGTTTCTCGAATTTAGTAGAAATATAAAACTTCATGTCAGTTTAGTCTATGTTAAATAATTACAAATTTCAAAATTATAGAATTAGTGCAGTGAAGTTTTGAACTTTCCTTAGAGAGAATTCCAGAATTTACTGTATCAACATGAACAACTGAGTTGTTTCTAGGAGGTCCACTAATGCTTAGATATAAATCATACTGCGTGAGATATATGCTCCCCACACTTAAGTATAAACTTTCATGAAATAAATGCATCTAATCAGAGATTATTACAGAATGATCCAATTCTATGAGCTAGCAGAACCTAAGTGTTCCTGATCTTCTGAGCACAAAGATTAAAGAATTTGTTAGCTGTAGTCTGTTACCAGTGGCATTCAAGAAGACAGGCTGCAAAAGGCACAACAAAATGAGACAAGAAAACAGCTTATAGCTTCATTTTAAGACCCACGTACAGCGCTGGCTACATGGGATTTTCTTCCTCCTTCCAGCCACCTGGGAAAATGTTCACAGAGTTTTAAGGGTTACAAGACTAAAGGTTGGATCTAAAAGAATTAAAAATTGCAGATAACCAAATTAATCTGCTCATATTTATTACTGCAGAAATAGCTTGAGAGGTAGTTTATTAATGAGGCATTTTCTAAATCATCCACTCATATTTATAATTTAAAAGCATCATTATATAAAGGAAAAGAAAAAATACTCTCTAGAGTGTAAGATTATTGTGTTTAAGTGGTTTTCAAAAAGCAGCACTTCCAGTGTTCTTCAGCTTCCTATAGTGTGGCATTACCTCGGGATGAGGCCATCTGCTCACTCAGACACACAGTCCGTTCCTGTGATGATCAAGTTCCTGCCGTCAGCACGATCCCTTGCACGTACGAGGAAGAGAGCCATCTCAGCATGAATGCCAAGGGTTCGAGGTGGGAACCACCCAAACCACTCCTCTAACAATAGGACCACTGCACAGCTTGAATTCTAGAGGACATATCAGGTTAATCTTTAAGATCCATCTGGTTCCCCTGGGCATTACTTCTAAGAATATCTTCCAGAAGATCAAACAAAGATATAGTTCTCTCCCCATTTACTCTTCACTATTGTTGGCCTCCAAGAGGCTCACACATTGATCCATCAAAAGAATTGGCTCTGAATCAAAACCAAAAAGAAAGAAAGAAAATCCAAAGAGTGGTTCTAGGGTACTCTGTGAATATTATCTCGTGGCTTCCACATGAAAGTTGTCAAACTGTGCAAATTCAAAGGAGTGAGTTCCAATGGCGGCCCAGCCGTTCTTCGGGAAACTCACAGGGATGTTCTTCCAGACAGTCTTGCCGTTCAGCATGCCAGAGGACAGCCGGCCCTGGAGGAAAGACAAACGCACCCTTTGAAGATGTATGAAAATGGTCCTTGGGGGCCTGTTTCTTAATACGTGCGGCAAGTCTACTCAGAGGAGCAAACGTCCATCTCACTTAAGCCACGGTCAAACACAACTGCACAAGGCTGAGTGAAAGTTTGAAACATAGGAAAGATTCTCTCAGAGGAAATTCTTATCTACTCATCCTACATAGTTTCCAAGGTGCAAGGGATACCTTAGTATTTCCTTGGATCCCCAAAAAAATACTATAAAGCTTTCCTTACTTAACATTACAAGGTTTTATTTTTTTTTTAATTTTTGTATTTATTTATGATAGTCACACACAGAGAGAGAGAGAGAGAGGCAGAGACACAGGCAGAGGGAGAAGCAGGCTCCATGCACCGGGAGCCCGATGTGGGATTCGATCCCGGGTCTCCAGGATCGCGCCCTGGGCCAAAGGCAGGCGCTAAACCGCTGCGCCACCCAGGGTTCCCACATTACAAGGTTTTAGACAAAAGCTCACGAAAATAAACAAACAGTGGTGATTTACAAGTACTTGTGTGCACGTGCAGTGTGGCTAACAGCCACCAGCTCTTCAGGCGTGACTACTGGAGCCAAAGCATCCATTTAAGTCCTTTTTGTGCCCGTGTACAGAGTATCACTTCAAAGTCATATGAAGAGCCCACCCTTCAGAAAAACAGTGGCCATCAGCTAAACTGGTAATTGTAATGGGCAGGCCAGGGGGGTGGGGGTAAGAAGGGAAACATCCATAGAAATGACTTACTGGGCACTGAAAGAGAAAGATAAAAATAATTTCCTCAGACAGCTGTCATTCCCACAGAGCCAAGTGCCCAGCACACAGCAGATAATGAACACTGGCTCTTGCTATCGTTATTATAGCACATTTATGAGCATATATTCACAGCATATCAACTGCAGCTAAACATTTAAAAGTAGCTAGTATCAAGGGGTGAAGGGCTAAAGATCCAAAGCACTAGACTAAGGACCAAAATAAAATTTGTTTTTAAGTCACAGAATTATAATGCTATGGGCCTTAACTTCATTCTTTCAGCTTCCAGAAGGGAGGCCCTGAGACGTGACACTAAAAGTCACAATCACAGATTCACCAGCCAGAGCTAGAGTGTGATTCTGAGTTGTCCAACTCCATATCCAGGAACAGCCACATTCCTGCTGCCACCAACGTGCATAGCTCTCTGCGGCACCCCAAGTGCTCACCTCCCCCTGCGGAGCCAACAGTGAATATGAACACGGAGCCAGCACCTGGGCACACAGTCTAAACTTGTCCCCTCCCCACGCCGGCCCTCTGTCCTCCGGGCTGCCCCTCACACAAGGCCAGCCACCAGCAGCGTCCAGGGCTCACAGTGCTCTTCCCACCGGCCAGGTCTCAGCTCACAGAGCACTAAGTCCAAGGCTCTTGTTGGGTCTCTCTATTGAGAGAATCCAGACAGGGGAGCTACTTTATCTCACTGTCCCATTTTTTCTTCACAATTTGACTGACTGATTGATTTGGGGTTTTCTTATGGTCTTAAAATAGGAGGCAGCCAACTATGGCCCACAGGCCAGCCACCTATTTTTATAACTAAAATGTTACTGGAATCACAGCACCACGCATTCATTTACCTACTGACCATGGCTGCTTTCTCACTATGCAAGCAGAGGTGAGTAAAGTGCCACAGACCAGCTGGCTCACAAGGCCTAAAATATTTATTATCCAGCCCTTTACAGGAAGACTTTGCCAACCCGTGTCCTAGAAGAATACAGGCTCATGTGTCTTGTTCCACTGCCGTATCCCCAGCACCGAGGAAAGTACACATGAAAGGTGCTTAATAGAAATGCACTGGATGAAAGAATAAAAACCATTTAACCCTAAAGCTACCTTCTAGAAGGTATCTCCCTTTTACAGACAAAGAAACAGAAGCTCAAAGAGGTGAATAACTTGCAGGGAGTCAGCAGGTGCCATCAAGGCAGTACACATGCAGCTCTGTCTGGTTCAAACGTGCTGCTGCTAAGAGCGCTCACTTCATTCACTGAGGGAGGAGGGACACTAAGGGAGATGGTTTGATACAAGGTGGTCAGGAAAGAACCTGAAGGAAGAGGGTAAACTATGTAATTAAATATTTTGGAAAGTTAACACACTTTAAAGTGTGATGCTAGAAAATAAAGACAAAAGCAATATAAAGAACAAAATTGAGAAATAAGCCTATGTGCATGTGATGATTTGTTACCTCAAAAAGGAGGACTTTAAATCATTCGCAAAAGGACAGTCTTGTGTGATAAGTGACGATGGCTATTCATTTGTTTAAAGAATTATACTGGGCTTTTCCCCCTTATGATTCACAAGTAAATTCCAGATGTAGTAAAGACTTCAAAATGAGGGTGCCGGGGTGGCTCAGTCAGTTAAGCATCTGACTCTTGGTTTTGGCTCAGGTCATGATCTCAGGGTCTTGGGATTGAGCCCCACGTGGGGCTCCATGCTCAGCAGGGAGTCTGCTTGGGATTCTCTTTCTCCCTCTGCCTCTGCTCCTCTGCCCCCACTCCAAAATAAATAAAATCTTAAAAAAAAAAAGACTTCAGCATAAAAAAATCCTAAACTTTAGAGAAAAAAATGTTCCTACTCTTGAGAAAGGTGAAGGTCTTCCTAAATAAAACATAAAAGCAATGAAAAAAAAGTGAAATGTTTGACAGAACCAAAATTTAAAACTTCTCTTCATGGAACATACCATAAGTAAAATTAAAATACACAAGACAGAAGAAAATATTTGTGACATACCTGACAGTACTCAGAATATATAATAAATTCATATGAAGCCATCAGAAAAAGAAAACGAAATCAGAAAATGAGGAAAGAATGTGAATGGGTAACTTCAGAGAAGAGAGAAAAATACAAAAAGCCTATAAACAAAATAGGGGATGCAAGCTCCCTAATTATCAAGGAAATATAAATCATGCCAATTAGCTTGAAAAATAACCCTTACAAATAGGTAATATCAAATACAATTATAACTGCTATAAAAACAGACACAGCTTGGCTAGCAATAGGGCAGTATCTGTCAAAATTTAAAATGCAATTCCATTTCTAAATATCAGCCTAATCAAATCCCAGCACATGTGCACCCTGAGAGGCACACGTAAAAGACTCTCCTCTCCACCTGCAAGTAAAGCCAGCCCAGATCGTCCCCATTCACCATGAAAGGGAAGAACTGAGAACAAAGCTCCACCCATCGAGTATAGCAGAATGAAATAAACAATGCCACACCCAAACCAGATGCTCAAAATGTATTGTTAGTGCCTGAAAAATGTGTATTGTCATTTTGGGTGGTTGGGTAAGAAATGAGAACAATTTGAAAAAGTACTCTGAATTCCATATTTAATTGCTGTCATGACCAAAACCAACTTACAGCAGAACCACACTGTCGGGCAGTGGCAGTATACTACACAGAAGTTTCTACACAGTACCCCTTGGATGCATGTCCACCCATAACTCATGATCACCCAGTGATTTTGACAAATATTTTTAGAAGCCACAATCCTATGATTGATCTAGTATCTTCTCTGAAAAAAGTATTCATGGAAACCAACTTCTTAAAAAATTGTACTTATCACTGAAAACCAAATTATCCTCAACCATCAAAAATAAATTTATAGGCTCCAATTTATAATCTTGGTTCAGCCAACTTAGAAAAAATAATTCAGTTATTGACTATCTACCAAGGGCTCCTGAGTTTAAGAAACAAAACCAGACCTTTAAAAAATTGCAGAGTGATTAAACTCAATAGCTGGTGGTTCTCATGCAGGTTCATCCTGACACACACTACCACCCTAGGGTCTGCTGGTTTGTTGGTATCCTAGCAGATTCTCTGCCTTTTTCCATTACTGTATTTATCACACTTTTCTCCTCTCATTTGATAACAGAAAATGCTAGAAAGACACAAAAAAAGAGTATTTTACCTCCAGGCGTTCTGATCAGCAGTACTTACCTTAATAATTAACGTGAGCGTATACCATTTTTTTGCTGTAACGTCAACATGTCCTAAAGCATATATGACCCATCCAGCTGCAACACAAAAAGATTATATTAATTGATATATTTTTAAGATCTAAATCACAGAATCACATAGCTCAGTTAGGGTTCCCAGGCAGCATTTGTATATAGAGTGAGCCTTAATAAAAATCTACATTTCCAGATCTACCAATGATTTAAAACAAAACATCCTTCATTCAGGCATGCATTCCAGAAGCATGTACTGGGATCCTACGGGGTCATATGTGTGCTCACAGGAGAACCAGTGAAATAAACTTTAAAAACACAGTATAATGTGTTAACTTCAGGTACAGATTTATACTCAATTGGATTGGCTATAAAAAAAGAAAATGAGTAGTGGTCAAAGGTCACCATAAGATTTCCACCTGGTATAACTGGTTTCATGGGAACAGCACAGCATGAACTGAGAATTAGAGAAAATAATGAGTTAATTTTGGGATTATATTATATTTGAATGCCTGGGAGAAACCAGAATGGGATGTTGAGTGGGCAGTTTAAAACACAAGAACAGTGGGGATTAAAAAGCTGGATGTGAATGGTTAGTTCTAGTTTTGCTACTAACTCATTTTTAGACTTTGGGCAAATCAATTAATCTGCTTTGGACTCGACAACCTGGGAGGAATGTTCTAGATGGGTCATGCTATGATTTTTCAGTCCTACTCTAGTGTCTATACAACCCACTCCTTTTCACTTGTGGAGCCCTTTCATCCTTAGGAAGAGGCAGAGAATAGCAAATGAGGAGGAAAGATTTTTTTTACTAATGCAAGGGGAAGTCAAGAGACAGGGAGTTAGGAAGACGCAGCATCAAGACAGTCTGTTTCAATGGGGTGGGGCAGGGGGTGTACTGATACCAAAGGGAATGAGACAGAATCCAACAAAGACATATTCTAAGCACTGATCCTGGATAAAATACTATTCTGCATAAAACAAGAGTTGCTTAAGATGAATTAAAAAGGTCAAGCTGTTTTCAAATTATTAAATAAAGTGGGAAGTACGATTTCTCCATTTTAAGCAGGCCAATCCCTCTCCTTGTATTTCCATAAGCACACTGGCACCTTCTTGGAATCTTGCTTTTACTTACAGGGTCTCCCTAAAATGTCTACCTGACCCTAATCTATGCAAATTCTACCCTGACAGCCTAACTCAGTTCTGCCTGAAGAAGCTCTGCACAATTTCCTGTAACACAGCTGCCTTTCTAATCAACTCTAATTTTGAATCATTTGGTATTTGTTTACATGTGTTACATCTCTTCAGTTACATGTCCAAGCACTTTGAGGAAAAGCTCTCTCATTACTCAGTGAGTAACAAGCTCCCTGTAGCTTATTTCCTAGTAAGTCATGTGCTCCAGAAGAAGTCACTTACCTAGATCACCTGTAACTCTGTAGGTTCCATTTGCAAAAATCCAGAAGAAAACTCCTCTGGCACTTCTAATCAAGATACCACCTTTATTTACTCTTCCGGCAATGAACACGCCTCCCTTCTCAGGAGTCTCTATGTAAACATCACACCTTACAGTCAGATTGGACCTGCAGAATGAAACTGTTAGTTAGCGCTTTTAATTATGCCACTCGGGATGCAGCATAAACGTGTCACTTCACAGTCACACGCTTCCAGACTTCTAATTGAGGTAAGTGATTTGCTAAGTCTGTGCTTGTAGCAGGGATGGGCTTCAAGAATCTTCATTGATGAAAAAAAAAATCTTCATTGATAGTTTTATGTCGCTAAAGTCATTTCACTGCCTCTTTTAATGTTACTTGAAAATAATATTTATTGTTTTTAAGTCTCTTAACACATTTCTTGTCTTTCTATAATAAAACTTCTCATCCTAAGAATAGAACGTTAAAAGAAGCCTTTTTTCCTAGGAATACAAAGAAGGTCCAAACAGTTCTAAACAAAAAAGGTTTATTAAATTTCCATCAGCTAAGCGAAGCAGTGAAGGCAAACCTAGGAGTTCCTAAGAGAACATAAGCTACTTCGGGCCTAATTTTTACCTTTAACCCTACCAAGACTTAAAAACTCCAGAAGATCTCAAATTAGTTCTGTGAAAACAGAGTCAACTTTATGTTGACTCTACAGCAGGGGTTTTAAAATTTGAACAGCACTGACATCACCTGGAGGGCTTATTAAATTCGGCCTGTTAGCCCCGCCCCACAGTATCTGATTCAGTAGGTTTGGGATGGGGCTCTTGAATCACCTAGCAAGTTCCCAGGTGATGTTGGTGCCACTGGTCTGGGAATCCTATTTTGAGAGCCATTTTCTCCTACAGAGCATATCTGTCTATATAGGGGCAGCAAAACCCTGCCTGCCATTACTCATCGACAGGGGTATATCAAAGGAGGGGGAACCTTCAGACAACCAGGAACTACTAGAGCTTTGCCGGTGAGCTCTGTCCCCAGGCTTCTTTTGTAAATGCTACTAGATGCCTTCTGCAACGATACAACCATCCCAAACCAACACAATCTCTGAAAATAATCTACCACCTACTCAAAGGCTTCACAAAGCCAAGTAATAAAGCAAGCAATTTACCTAAAATAAAACTAAGAATACCAAGAAATATATTTTGGAAATGGGGGCAAATTAGATCTAGAATTATGTGGCTTTTATATTTCTCAGTTCCTTATCAGTGAATTTCACACAATAAAATTTTGCTCTATAAAGGAAAATACAGAAAAGAAGTAGCTACAACAGGCACGCAACAATCAGGAAAATCCACACTGAAATCATCTAATCAAAGCTGGGCCACTTTACAGGAAAAATCAAATGCAAAGTTAACTAAAGCCCAGTCTGTCTTGTACATCCTCCCAAGCAGCAGGAGCTTTTCTCTCTGTAGACTGTTGCCAGCAGGAAACCACGAGGGATCAGCATTGCTTCATACATCCCCTACCTGTGTTCTGGTTCATCAGAAGCGTGAAAGGGTCAGCACCATAAACTTCCTCTATTTACAGTCAAGGGTGGGAGAAGATCTAATTTCCTTTTTTTACATCACATTCCAGAATAAAGATTCCTGCATGGGAACTTGCAGGCAATTTTCAGACAATGAGCGAAACAGAATAAAAGTGAGGTCTAGTCTTCCACAGCCATAATTTCTTGGTTGCGCCAAGAGCACAAACACTGGCCAGGACATAAAGAAAATTTAACCAAAGAGATGCAAACTTTGGACGTGTGCAGTAGACGGTAATTTTGTGGTTGTCCTCGGGTCCCCACCGAAGCTTACTAACAAGGAGGACATCCTGAGCAGCTTTGGGAAAGTCTACCCTCTACAGTCCAATTACTGTGCTGGTACTTAACTAAATCTAAGGATGACAGAGGAAGTCCCCCTGCAAACACATCCTAAGAACTGATGACAGCGTGTACACATTCAGAGCAGACTTACTAACATAGCACTATAGGTAAACCACACTCATTCTCCCTCACCTACTCTTAGGAAGAAGACAATGATTAAAACAAAGTTGTGAGGTATGGTCCAAAGAGCATAGGCTCCAGCACCAAACAGTCCTGGCATCTCACCCTAGTTCTAGAACTGAAAAGTATGGGATCTTGGGTTAATCTTACCCGGAAGCCTTGGCTTCCCAATCCACAAGGTGGGGAGGATGACACCTCTACCATCAGTAGTTGTGGAAGGCTCATATGCATATGTACTATGACCGAGTTTTCACTCCCTCCTTTCCTTACAGTAAGGGCATTGCAGCCAGAAAACAGAAATGAGCATGGCACATGAACAGATCTGAACAGATCTGAACAGATCTGACTACCTCGAATATTACCTGAGGTAATATTGGGAAATGGCACATAATAAATAGGATGAGCCCAAATTTGAAAGAGTCTTGGAAGTCAGGCACAAACATGTAGGTCTGATTGGGTTGCTGGAGAGAGTCACTGCATATTCCCAAGCCAGGGGGTTTGCACAATGAAAGCAGGCTAAGAAGGATGAAAACAGTCCCTTCTCGAAGGGCATCACTGCCCTTTCCTCATTCTTTCTCATTCAAACTCTGTCCCTCTTTCCCTCTTTCTCTCTCCCCCTGCTTTCCCCCTCCCTCCTCTCCTCACCTCTTTACCCACTGCAGCAGTAAAGACGTGCACTGCTATTTAAATACTGCAAAATTTTCAAAGTTATGAAGACATTTGGTAACTCTTTGTATGGATGGTGCTCTATCCATCTCTCTATTATAATTAGAGAGTCTTTCCAGTTTTCTAGAGTCCCAGCCAGAAATAAGAGTTTGGGTTCAGGGAGAGCGACTCTTCTGTATGTAGTACTCATGAGCAAGGAGGATAACAGTTGTTGCAGAAAGTTAAAGGTTTTCTACGGTGGCTGGCTTCCAAACTGGTAATCAAAATAATGGGCCCCAGCCCTTAGACAAGTGAACCTAGTTACCTGTCCTATAATAAGATCATGGGTAGTAACAAATGAAAAATAAAATCACACACCCTACTGGCACAATTGGAAAATCCAGGTAAAGTGTCTACTATAGAGATGTGGGACAAATGGCATTTTTGTTATATAAAAAGACAAGCCACCAAAGTTAGCCTAAATTAGGCAAGCATTCTTCACTGGACCCCCCCCCCCAAAAAAAAACTCCATGGTACTGTACAGGTTCTGGAAACTGGGTAGCTAAAAATTTCTCAAGACCTACTGCAGAGCTTAGAACAAAATTGGGATTTCTAATAGGGAGTAAGGCAATAGAGACGGGATAAAAACTTTTGTCAGCATTCCACTGATAATCAAGGCTCTTTTCAGATTTATCTTTCTTGCCCTGTCCAATTTCCAAGTAATAGATATGGCTGCTTGGTGACTTGGTATTAGCAGTTATTAACACTAAACCTGGAATGCTTGAGTTTTGTTTCAAAGAATTATACTAGCTTAAAAAAAAATATAGAAAAGAGGGGATCCCTAGGTGGCGCAGCGGTTTGGCGCCTGCCTTTGGCCCAGGGCGCGATCCTGGAGACCCGGGATCGAATCCCACGTCGGGCTCCCGGTGCATGGAGCCTGCTTCTCCCTCTGCCTATGTCTCTGCCTCTCTCTCTTTCTCTCTATGTGACTATCATAAATAAATAAAAATTAAAAAAAAAAAAATATAGAAAAGAAACACCTAAGGTAGAATAAGTCAGTACATTAGAATCCCACAACTGACTTAAGAGGGGAGGCGAAGTTTTGGTTTGGCTGTTATGTTTTAAGTGTAGAATAAATACAACTTATCTCTTTAACAAATGCCTAAAGAAGAGAGTTAAATTCACCAAGTAAAAGTTGATTTGCTTTTCACTATTGCCATCTACCGTCACCTGGTGAATAGATTTTCTACAAAAGCTTAAACAGTGTAAGTCTAGAATGGATCCAGCAGGTGGCAACAACAGATCAACAAATCAACTGGCCAGCAAAAAACAAAAACACACAAATCACAAAGTCTGTTTATAAGTAAATCTTAAATTATAACTAGATCCACAAGTCCTTAACTTTTATATTAAAATCAATCGGCGAATGTGAACTGGTGCAGCCACTCTGGAAAACTGTGTGGAGGTTCCTCAAAGAATTAAAAATAGACCTGCCCTACGACCCAGCAATTGCACTGTTAGGGATTTACCCCAAAGATTCAGATGCAATGAAACGCCGGGACACCTGCACCCCGATGTTTCTAGCAGCCATGTCCACAATAGCCAAACTGTGGAAGGAGCCTCGGTGTCCATCGAAAGATGAATGGATAAAGAAGATGTGGTTTATGTATACAATGGAATATTACTCAGCCATTAGAAACGACAAATCCCCACCATTTGCTTCAACGTGGATGGAACTGGAGGGTATTATGCTGAGTGAAGTAAGTCAATCGGAGAAGGACAAACAGTGTATGTTCTCATTCATTTGGGGAATATGAATAATAGTGAAAGGGAATATAAGGGAAGGGAGAAGAAATGTGTGGGAAATATCAGAAAGGGAGACAGAGCATAAAGACTTCTAACTCTGGGAAATGAACTAGGGGTGGTGGAGGGGGAGGAGGGCGGGGGGTGGGGGTGAATGGGTGACGGGCACTGAGGGGGACACTTGACGGGATGAGCACTGGGTGTTATTCTGTATGTTGGTAAACTGAACACCAATAAAAATTAATTTATTAAAAAAATAAATAAATAAAATCAATTGGCTCCTGCAACCATCACTATTAAATCGGGCAACTCTGAGGGAAGGACACGGAGGCACTATAACTACATGCTGGCTTATGGCCATGATATTCACCAGTGATCACACCTATCAGGCTCTTGCACAAGGAAGACCACTGAAAAGTCTCCGCCTCAGAATGTACCTGACAGCATTACAAGGTTACTTCGGCTAGATCTATGTTAGGACACCAGTTTTATATACCATTTGTAATCTCCTATAATACTGATGGTATTGTATGCATCAGCAGCCCAGGTAATGGGCCGCTGATTGAGAACTTGGCGCAGTGTGAAACGATGCTCTCCAGGGTCTTCAATGTTCGTAAAGTATTCAAAGACGCCAGTCTGATCAGCGAAATTCGGAGCTTCACTAAAAAATGGGTAATCTGTTGGGAACACAATAAATTCTCTAGTTAATATAAAATTCTGAAAGAACCTCTCCTCTCTGGTATTTTATGGCACATTTTGAAACACTTTTGAAAAGTCCTAAATAAGTAAATGATACTAATAATGAGTGGAAGTTTAGGGCTTAGGTTAATGAAGAGATTAATTTTCATATCACCGTTATGATTCAACACCCATATGGTCGGTCTGATAAATAGACTTTACATATTTAATCCAGGCAACTGCACAAGAGGAAAGATCATGGGTTTTAGAGAAAGGCAGACCCAAGGTTTAAGTTCTAACTCAGTCTGTCCCCATGGCCAAGTTGTTTAACTGCCCTGCATCTCAAGTATCCTCCTTTCTAAGTGAGCATGAGGATAAGAGAATTAAATGACAGTATGTTCAGTGTGTACATAAACCAGCACCTAGCAAGGGCTCAGTAAGAGATAGTTTTGTTATTTCTAGCATTTGTCAAAAGATACAGCTATCAGCTGATAGAAGATTAGAAAAGCCTCACTATATCAACTACAGAATTTACAAATTCCAAATTTCTTCTATTTCTAAAATGAAGCAAAACCAGCTGGGCCTAAGCTATCAATCTTTTTTTAAGTTTATTAAATTAAATTACAGTCTTACAACAGCAAAGGCTAATGAAGGGCAATTTTAGTCATAATCTTACAGCTAATTTCACACTTCATGCTTTTCTAAGTGTTTTCATACTCATCATTTGAGAAATTAAGAACCACATAAAGTAGTGCTACAGCCTGACTTATAGTTTTTAGTTTATTTTGTAGTCAGTAAAGCACTACATTCTGGATTTGAAACTTTAGAATTGTCTTTCAAGTCTTCGTGTCACAGAATAAATAATTATGGTGTTTGGGGAACTTCCCCCTTGTTAACTAGGCCATATCCCACACAGACTTCTCCACTGGAGACAAGAAGAGTTACCTTTGGCAACAGAGGGAAGTGAGCAACAGATTGCAAAGACATTCCTGGTGGCGTAATTCATGGATTCATCTAAGAGGCCACTTTAGAGAATTGCAAGGAAACAAACCACCAAGCAACCCTGAGGGTCCCTGTCTGGTCCCTGTCATCTGTGTTATGCAAGTAACTGAGCGGACTCCAGTACACAGTCCAAGGGGCCTTGCACTGCCATGAACCCGGATATCACCTACTGGGAAAAGGGAGCTGAGACCTGGCAGCTGGCAGCCGTGACTGTGACCAGAAGGAGGGAGTAGGAGGGAGTAGGAGTCCGCAACCCATCGTCCTGGAAAGAGCAGCCTTGCAAACAAGGGGTTCAACGCGCTCTCTCAATGGCAGTCCCCCTCCCTGCTTCTCTCCTACAGCTATGGAACAAAAAAGAGACCCACGGGACCCTGTCTATGAGCTCCAGAAGCTGTGCATCTCCTGGTCAACAAGTTCTGTTGCTTACTAAGTGATCTAGGGCTATAACCACAATGACTGTGCCGCCTTCCAATTTTTCAAGTGGTTTTTCTTAAATTACCTAAAATCAAAAACTTTTCTGATAGCTTTGGGACAGATTTTCCTAGAAGATCTGTATAAAACTAGTGTAAGAAGTATAAAAGTATAAAATTCCTAGGTAGATAAGGAGGTGAAAGCACTGGAGGGGAGTGTAACTGCCCCCAGCACTCAGTCTGATAGCACTGTGGAAAATGAGGGACCTTGACCTCCATGCTCAAGAAGACCAGTAATGGCTTTCATGAGATGTGGATAAAAGGGCAGTGGTAGTGCCCAAACCTTAAGCTTCACCAAAACCAAGTTAGGATTATAGCTTCCATTCTGAAGTGACCTCTACTACAAAATACAAGGCCCTCCAGCTGAGAGTCACCCTGAGGTAACCTAGAAATGAGGTCTCAGTGCGTGGACATGCACAGCTATACTGTACAGCCACTCTAAGACACCAGTGTGACGGGTCTTCTACCAGCTAGTGCTAAAAAGGGAAACCAAGTTTTAGTAAACACACACTGTACACAGACACACACACACACACACACACACACACACACACACTTACCAACATCGAAATCATCTTCATAAATTGGCGGGAAAGGCTCGGACTTGGGAGGCAGCGGGTAGCTGCCCTTGCTCCCCACAGTGAGAGTAGTGAGTGTGAAGATCTCATCCTCCTGAAGCTCCAGGGTGAAAGTGCTGCTGCTGTCGAGGAGCTGGAAAACAAAAATGCAGAGGTCAAGGCCAGGTGCCCTGGCCCATTTCATTTTGAGCAAAATAACTTTTTGGAAAACAAACTTCAAGAAAAGCCAAACTCACTTCTGCTAAAACTTCATAAGCACTCCTGGAAGCCACCCCCCATATCAAGGCCTCGGGGATCTTTTTTCTTATTTATAAGACCTTATCAAATTATACTTTGTACACAGCATATTAAAAGAATTTCCCTCCATGGAGGGACAGAGAACAAGATGATAGTGAATCAATTTCCATGACACTGTAAGCTCCTCAGAGTCTGTGTATATTCAATATACATAAATAAGAGATCTGCTTATTTACTTTTTTTAGGACTTTACTAAGGTAGAAAAATCCATAAAATCTCACTGATGACTCAGCTGTTAATCACTAAAAACCCATTATTATTAAGAAAAAAAGTCCTACTTTTTACATGTTCAATATATATTTCAATTAGCAAGTTAGGTTTATGTCACATTTATCCTTTTGACAACTTAACCTTTTTAAGCCACATCTCCATAAAGTGAGGGGAAAAAACATATACCTCCCAAGGCCATTGTAAGTATTAAACAGGTAATGTTTATAAAGTGCTTCACTCAGTGCATGACCTTCAAGAAACACTCCCTATATCGCAGCTGTTCTATGCTACATGTAGGACTCTGAAGGCACTAGAATCCTTTGCATAACTAGTGTAGGCGTTAGATGGATGCGATGCCCATTGTATGAAATTTGAAGAGTTTTTTTCCTACTTTGAATTAAAGGGGCTTATACCATATCTTTGCTTTAATAATAAACTGTCAGATCTCTGAAATACTAACACCATGTTCTGGCTCAGGTAATACCCCCACATGGTATTATTTTTCTTATGGGGAATACTTCTTTTAATATGCTATTTCTAGCAATTTGTTGTGCAAAAAACAAATTGCTTTTTAGAATTTAATAAAGAAATCATGTTTAATCACTGATTGTGACTAGCTGATTCACAGAACATTAATAATTCCCAGGAAAAGCAGATTTGTGTCAATTTGGTGAAATAATGTATTCACTTGGATCAATTCATTCTTTGAAACATTTCCTGAGGAACTACCATGTGCTAAGCATGATAGCAGGGACCAGGGATAAAAACCTAAATCAGGCAGGGCCCCAATCTTCAAGGTGCCAAATGTAGTGGGGAAAGTGCTTAACTAGGTGGTAAGCACCTGTTCATAAGTGGCTGTGAGCTGAGACCAGTGAGGAAAGCCTCAGTGGAAGCAGCAAGAATCACCTGAGCAGATTCTTGAAAGACAACAAAGACATGAAGAGAAGGCATTCTAGGAGGAAGAAGCAAGTGCAAAGTCACAGAGGTGAGTGAAGTAGCATGCTATGCTCTAAAAGAGGCAAGTAGTTTGGTCTGTGATTACAGGCCATGTTAGGAGAACACGCATCAAGAAATGGAAGCAGTCTTTTACTTTATGAGGTGGTCACTAGGGTTGTGTGCCATGCTAAGGCATGTGAGCTCACATGAAAAATCACTGAGAGATCTTTGAGCAGTGGATCAACAAAAATCAGATCTGCATTTTAGACACATCATTCTGGTAGCAGTGTGATGGGTGGCCAGACAGAGTCCTACTGGAGGTTGGAAAAACAGGAGGTAGTTTCCAAAATCCAGGAGAGAGATGAGAAGGAACCAAAATAAGCAGTAGTAGTGGGAATCAAAAATAAGGAATGTGTAAGAAAAACACGTCAGTGATAGAATGCTCTGGACTTAATCAATGATGGTATAAAGATAGGGTGGGTGGGAAAGATGGTCTCAGATGAGACTCAACTTTCTGACTTGGGCAGCCGAGGGCTGGTGGTACCATTCACCCTACAAACTAAATGCTAAGAGCAAACATACCTATAAACATACACATGTCTATTACACCTTGAGAAGGATTTCTATTTTAAAAACAAACAGCTGGGGACAACTTTAGCTCTATTATACTTCTGCCACAAAACCAATTATAAAACTAAAAATTCTCAATTCATTAATCAAATGTCTGTTCTCTTTTACTATTTGCAATACTCAAAATGTACGGATTTATTTTAAAACTACCCATAGAGAATCCAGTTGTTTAAAAAGATATCTCTCAGATGGTTTTCCAAGCTTCGTATACCACACCTGTAGCTCTGGTATTTCACTCTGAGGAGAAAATACACAGAAAAAGGCATAGTTGAGTAATTCATCATATCCCCTGAGGATTTCCAAAATTAGTACCAGCAAGAATGAACTGTTGATAATGTACACTCTATTTCTATTTGCCAAAAGACCCACTTCCAATCTTAAATAGCAACATTCTGAGAGTAGGAAGATATTGTTCAAGCAAATACTTTATTTCCTATAAATACCACAGACTCTTGGCAAATGTTTAAAAAGATTTTAGTGCCTTTGCTTCAAAAATACTACTGTACCTGTGTAAAATGCTCTTTAGGAATTTTCTGGTATTAACAAACTACTTTTATGCCACTAGTAGTAAGAAAAGGCATTGTATTTTCTGTGTTCAAAACTAACAATAGGTAGAAATAGCAAAACTGGTCATCTTTTTATGTTGTTGGTTTTTTTGTACAGAGTACTGAAAAGATCAATGCTTGAAAGTTTCCTAGACTACATACCTGATGATTCTACCAACAAGAACAACTTTGTTGCTAGTGACTTTTGTTAAGTATTCTTCAAAGCTACCAAGAGAGTTTTTAGCCAAGGAGAGTTTTGCCTCCTAAGAACAATCAGCAAATCAAAGACGCCAGGGCTTCTATCCATTTATATGCAAGTACTTAATAGCTCTTAATGTAAGATTTCACTTATAAACTGCTGTCCTCTGATAAAATACATAAATTCTCAAATCAAATACAAATCCTCGAATCAAAACCAAAATAAAGTCCCACATATTTACTTACAAAAGAACCCTTAAGAACAAAGGTAGCGAACTGATGTGACACGTTGAAGTAAGGCAGAAACGGCCTTATACAAGCAGACTGTTTATGGCTCTAGGAGAGAAAAAAAATAAATAACCACTGAAGTTATCCAAATGATACTAGCCACCTGAGGAAAAGAAAATCAAACATTTAAGGCCTCAAGATGAACAGAAATGGTGCATCTTAGATGACAAATATGAGTTTATTTCAAATTTTTATAGACTTTTTTCCTAATATAATCTGTATTGAAAATCTACCATGGATGCCTAGTCAAAGTAAAGCTCGCCAGCATTTTGACTGAATTAAACTTTGAATTCATGGCTAAACTAGAGTCATTTATGGCATACAGATTAATTTTTATATTATAATTCTTTTCCAAGTAAAATACATCGAATAAGATGCAAATGTTTGTATGTTTTCACTGAAAAGGCATCTCATCTAAAAATAACCTTCATATACAACTAAAGTCAGTAAGTACATATAACAAACAGTTCTCACACTGACAACATAATTTTTTACTAAATAGTTACTACCATGGACTGGGATCAAAAGAATTATGAGACATAATCCCTACTTCACGGGATTCAATGACCCCAGAGCACCTAAGCATAAAGTTCTGTATCAGGCTTTGTGGACCTTAAAAAAAACTACAATTGTAGTTAGAGATTCTAATTCCTCATCCTCAGTAAATGATGTACAACTAGACAGAAAATTGACAAGGGTAGAGGCGATTTGCACAATGCTAGCACACAGCTTGCCTGGATTGACATCTATAGATCACCTCACCCAGCAACAGCAGATGTACATTCTTTTCAAGTACACAAGCAACATTTTTCCAAGGAACACTATTCTTAGCCATAAAAGAACATTTAAGATCCAAGTCAGACAATGGATGTCCTCTGACCCAAGATAATTAAATCAGAGATAAATAACAGAAAAACCACTAGAAAAATTCCAAAATATCTAGAAACTAAATAACAAATTTCTAAATAATCTATGACTCAAAGAAAAATAAAAAGGGAAATCAGAAAGAATTTTGAGTTGTATCAAAATAAAAATACAATGTAGGATTTGTGGGATGCCATAAAAGCAGTACTTAGGAGCAAATTTACAGCACTAAACACTGATTAAAGAAGAAAGATATGAGACTTCAGCTTCTACCTGGAGATATACTAGGACAAGAAGAGCAAATTTAAAACAGAAATAAGCAGGGGGATCCCCGGGTGGCTTAGTGGTTTGGCGCCTGCCTTCGGCCAGGGAGCGATCCTGGAGTCCAGGGATAGAGTCCCACATCAGGCTCCCTGCATGGAGCCTGCTTCTCCCTCTGCCTGTGTCTGCCTCTCTATCTGTGTCTCTCATGAATAAATAAATAAAACCTTAAAAAATAATAATAAAATAAAAAATAAAACAGAAGCAGAAGGAAAAAAAATAAAGATCAAAGGAAAAATCAACTAAACAAAACCCAGAAAAATGAGAATAATCAAGAAACCACAAGCTGATTCTTTGAGAACATCAATAAAATTGATAAATTTCTAGCTAGACTGACTAATCAGGAAATCATGGTAAAAAGAAAGGAAACACAACTTGTCATTATCAATACTAAGAAAGGTGACATCAGAACAAATTATATAGATAGTAGAGGAATAATAGAGAATAACACCAAAAACTTTATGTCCAAAAATTGAACAATTTGAATAAAATGGAAAAACCTTTAGAAAGACACAAAAACCAGGGGCACCTGGGTGGCTCAGTCAGTTATGTATCTGACTCTTGATTTCAGGTCAGGTCATGATCTCAGGATCGTGAGACTGAACCCCACATTGGGCTCTACACTGGGTATGGAGCCTGCTTGGGATTCTATCTCACCCTCTGCCCTCCTTCACTCTCTTTAAAAAAAAAAAAAAAAGACACAAAACCCCAAAGGTCACAAAAGAAGACGTGGATAATCTGAATACCCCTTATGGCTACATTGGGAAATTCAGGTCAACCTTGAAGCTTTGCTCGAACATGAAGTAAAAGCTCCCACAGAGCTGTACATTGCCTGAGCACTGACATACACCCCAACATGAAAGACAGCCTGCGGGCCAAGGCCAGGAGACCTGCCAGTTCTAAACATAAGGAAACCTCTGTAACAGTCATGAGCTTACTACTAAGGTAACTAAGCAGGGGCTTCAGTGGCCACACATGATAAAGCTGGCAAAGTACAGAATCTATTCAGGAAAGTCAGTGAGCCAATAAAGAGCAACACAAATGCTAGACAGGGGAGAAAATCTGACCTCCAAAGCTGCCACAATACATTATATAATAGATAGAGCTTTCAACAAATAATTATAAGATTTGCAAAACAAAACAGGAGAGCAGCACCCATACACAGGAATAAAAGTGGTCAACAGAAACCATATCTGACAAAGCCAGGCATTACTTGCCATATATTAGGCTCATGAGACAAAGACATTAAATCAGGTATTTAAATATGTTCAAAGGAAACCACACATAAAAAAACTGAAGTAGAGTTGTACTTCCAGAACGACAATGTGAGGAGCTCCATGAAGCTGCACCTCTCAAAACTGTCGAAAATTATTTTTTAGAAATGGAAATGATCCAGGGTACCTTGGTGGCTCAGTTGGTTGAGCATTCAACTCTCAGTTTTGGTTCAGGTCATGATCCCAAGGTCCTGAGATCAAGTCCCACACTGGGCTCCATGCTGGATGCAGAGCCTGCTTGAAATTCTTTCCTTCTCCCTTCCTCTCTGTTCTTCCCCTATATTCTCTCTCTCAAATAAATAAATAAAATCTTTTTTAAAAAAATGGAAATGACCTAAGGGCATGCAACAAATAAACATTTATTCAAGAAAATCTATTAAAAAGAGCAAGAGCCAGTGGCATTTAAACCACAATCCACTCCATCCCTGTCTCTCTTACCCAAGTGGCAAAAACTGCATGCCAGGTAGGTGCAGTCAAGAACACAGGGCTCCCTCCTCCCAGCTTGCAGCTGAAGGCTGAAGTAGCTTCCTGGGAAAAGCAGGATTTCAGGATTTCTCATCCTTTACCCCCTCGGATAATTGAGGCCAACGCTAAGAAGCAGCTGGTTAGGAGGCTCCTCTGCCAGCTCCTATCCATGGGTTCACCTTGGAATACTGAGAATACTGGGGTCACAAAGCTCCACCCATCACCCTGCGCTCCTAAATCAAAGGTGTTACTAAGAAAGAAACACTCTTTGCCTTTGTCCCAGCTCTCAGCTTCAGCTCAGAGATTTTTGTCCAGGATAGAGACAGGTTATAAAACAGAGAACTTAGCAACTCGCCCCAAACAAGTCAACCGTATTTAACACAGAGCAGGAGGAAGTTCAAGAGTAAGGTTGCTCTCAAAAATAACGGAGTTCTGGTGAAAAGCAAATATGAAGAGACTGGTGGCTTCATTAGATACATAAGCTAAACCACAGTCCATCTAGTTTGCCATCAAAAGCCTCAAAAACAGAAGAAGAGCCCTCCTGAGATCAGATGAAATCTAAACACCAACCTCAGAAACCACCTCTGCAAATAAGCTGGAATTTAACTGGATCAGTCTGTAGAGCAATCTAAGTCACACGGCACTACTGAAAACAAAAGTGCAATCTGGCAGCAATTAACAGAGGGGTATGAAAAAGGAAAGAGACAAAGAGGGCCCGGGGTGGTTGTGCACATGCCCAGAGCTGCCCCCTCGAGGAAGCAACATCTGGGGCTTCACAGGGCAGGTGAGGAGGGTGGGGGGATAAGCTTCACAACAAGCAAACAAACAACATTAAACCTGTGGGGAAGAGGAAATCAGTACCCAGAGTTGCTACTTTGTATTATATAAAAGATCTGGCTTTCAAAATAAAATTATGAGACATTCAAAGAAACAAAGAAACAAAAATGTGACCCATACATAAAAAAGGCAACAGAAAGTGGCTGTGAGATCAATTGTTGGATTTAACAAAGACTTCAAAATCAGGCCAATTTAAATATGTTTAAAAAACTAATGGAAACAAGGCTTAAGTAAGAAAAATAAAGGGAAGTATCATCATAATGTCTCATTAAATGAACAGTATCAATAAAGTGATAGAAATTCTTTAAAAAGCCAAATGGAAATTCTGAAGTTGAAAAATTCAACAACTGACAAAAAATTCACTAGAGAGATCAACCTGGCAGAAGAATTAGAGAATGTGAAAACAGATTGATAGAGATTGCACAACCTGAATAACTACAGGGGAAAAAAAAACAAGAATAAAGAAAAATGAGTAGGACCCCATAGAATTCTAGGGCATTAAATACACCAGCATATTACAATGGGACAGTAGAAAATAGAAAGTAGAAAAAAATGTTCAAAGATATAATAGCTGAAAACTTTCCAAACTTGATGAAAAACATTAATCTACAGACCCATGGAACTCAACAAACTCTAAGAATCAAAGCAAAGAGATACACACAAACACCAGTAAAAATGCTTTCTTCAAAAGAAGAAAATACTGAAAAAGGCAAGAGCAAAACAACTTACCACTCACAAGGGAGCTTCAGTAAGATTAAAAATTGATTCATCATCAGAAAAAACAAAAAGCAAAAAAAAAAAAAAAACAAAAAACAAAAAGCAACATATTCAAAATGCTCAAAAAAAGACCTCCCTATCAATCAAGAATCCTATATCTAGCAAAATTATCTTTCAAAAAAATAAAGGCAAAATGTATTTCCACATATATAAAAACTGAGAGAATGTGTTGATACCAGACACAACTTTCATAAAAGGTAAAAAGGTAAAGCAATGGGAAAAAGAGACTTTCAGCAAATGGTAGTAGAACAGATGGATACCCATATGCAAAAACTTCTTAGATACCATAACAAGAGCATGTTCCATGAAAGTATAGATGAATAAAATGATCTTCATAAAAATAAAAAAAACTCCTGCTCCTCCAAAGACACTGTTAACAAAAGGAAAAGAAAAGCTACAGACTAAGAAGTTATCTTCACAAAGCACATATCTGTAAAGGACTTGTACCCAGAATATGTAATATGTAAAGAACTCTCGAGGCACATGGGTGACTCAGTCCTGTTAAAAGTCTGCCTTCAGGCACCTGGGTGGCTCAGTGGTTGAGCATCTGCCTTTGGCTCAGGTCGTGATCCCAGGGTCCAGGGATCGAGTCCCACATCACACTCCCCACAGGGAGCCTGCTTCTCCCTCTCCCTATGTCTCTGCCTGTCTCTGTGGCTCTCATGAATAAATAAATAAAATTTTAAAATAAATAAAATAAAATAAATGTCTGCCTTTGGCTCAGGTCATGATCCCAGGGTCCTGAAATCAAGTCCCACACTGGGCTCCCTGCTCAGCTGGGAGTCTGCTTCTCCCTTTCCCTCTGCTGCTCCCCCTGCTTGTGCTCTCTGGTGTTCTCTCTCTCTCTCTCTCTCTCTCTCTCTCTCTCTCTCATTCTCTCTCTGTCAAATAAATAATCTTAAAAAAAAAGAATTCTCAAAATCCAACAGTAAGAAAAAGCCAACCAAAAAATGGGCAAAAGACTTGAACACACACTTCACCAAAGAAGATAACTGAAGCATAAACACATGAAAAGCTCAACAACATCAGTCAGTAGGGAAATGCAAAACCAAAATAACGTACTACATCATACACACATCATTTATACATTATAAATTTTTTCTAACTGATAACAATGCTAAAGAAAAACTGAAACTTCAATTATGCTGATGGAAATTTAAAACAGCAAAATCTTTGGAGAATAGTCTGGCAGCTTCCTAAAAAGCCAAACATGAACATATCATATTATGCAACCAATCTATCCCTATGTATTTATCCAAGAGAAAAGAAATATATGCCCATATAAAACCTGTGCACAAATGTTCATAGCTTCAAGTGTAATAGCCAGAAAGGAGAAATAAGCCAAATGTCCATCAACAACAAGTGAATAGATAAACAAACTATGGTATGTCCTTACAATGGAATACTACTTATCAATAGGTATCTCCCAACATGCATGAATCTCAAAATAATTACACTGAGTGAAAGAAGACAAAAAGCAGTACATACTGTATGATTCCACTGGTACAAAGCTCTAGAAAATACAAACTAATCTACAGTGACTAAAAGCAATGAACAGGGAAGTCCTAGGATATGAGGAGGAGCAGGACAAAATATTTAAGGAAGGACAATAAGTATTCTTTGTGGGGCTCTTGATACATTCACTATCCTGATTGTGTCAATGGCTTATTAAGCATTTACATATGAACATTTATATTGTTGCACATTTTAAGTATGTTTTTGAAGGGGATCATAATATGCCACCAAAAAATAAGTCACTTTGGTATAAAGATTATTTTAAGTTGAAAGTATTTGAGATTCAGAAGTTATGGAGACAAAATCTCTGAGCTTCCTTGAGCTTACTAAGAGCAGCAACTTCTGGGAAATAAAACTGCCAAAAATTCCTCCTTAAGATGGATCTACTCCCAGAAAGAAGAAATGGGAATAAAACTTACCCAAAATCCCTTCTGCAGAGGGTTTTTACAGCCATGAAGGAAAGGGAAAAACCTCTCTCCAGTATAGACGAACAGGGTCATGATCATTCCTGTTTGTTCTCCTGAAAACCCGTTTATCTTCCCAAAAAGTCATTTATTTTCCATTAAGTGCTCTTTCTCCCCTTCTCCGTTACTTACAACTTTAGGTATATAAATCCAAATTCTAACCACCTCTCAGAGTTGCTCATCACTGAGCAACTCCCACATGTATGCATGTTGCATGCACAAATAAATTGTTTTCTTTTCTACTGTTAATCTGGAGTGTTGCCAGTTTAATTTGGGGGGCCTCAGCTTCTGAACCTAAGAGGGTACAGGAAGAAGTTTCTTCCTCCTCTACATGTTTATATGTCGATTATACTTTGGTAAACCTGTGGTCTTTTTAAAAGAAAGTGTTTAGTTGTGTTTTCTAATGTTTTTCCAATACAAAGAGAGTGAGTTAATTCTATACAAACAACAAAGAATTACCATAGTTTCAACGATGATGGTGAGGTTACCTAAGCCATCTGTCAGGGCCACGTAGCTTCCTCCTTTCTCTAAATGACCAACTGTCTTCAGGTAATACCAACCTGGTTGAGTAAACTGAGTGGTATGAGCTATAGAAAGGCAGAGAAAGATCCAATAAAACAGTGATAAAAGGTTTTCTTTTAAAAAAATTTTTTAAAAAAGCGGTCTACTGATTTGAGTCTGATTGAGTCTAACAAGCTACTTTCTATTTTAGAAGAAAGTATTTGCCAACCTCATGTTTCAATTTTTGAATAATTAGTCCAGTTAAATGGTACAATTGTAGTACGAATAACTGTAGCTAGAATTACTCATAAAATAAATGAATCACACTATCAATTCAAGAGTATTAACTCTTTTATCCCCAAAGGGTAAGATAAAGTTATCTCTTCTGAACTTTTCTTCCTCTCTATTTAACCCATCCTAGTAGAGCTACAAAAAATAAGGCTAAAAATTAATACTGCATTTCAAAACCTAAGCTTTATGGTTTCAAACAAGTTTTATTTACACAATATTTGCTTATTGGGTACCTCCAAAGTTGGCAATATATTCCATGTCCCCATCTCATCCCCAAAACACAGCAACAATATTAAAAGAGTACGTTAGTTCACCTAGATAATGTGGACCAATGGTTCCAATGATTACGACATTTAAGGTGTTAACCAATGAGAACATACAAGTGCAACTTCACTATTACATATTTATGGAAGTATAATTCATAGTTTAGAATAATGTCATGATTTCATGACTAATGTCATGACTACAAATCTGAGGAAAACACATCAAAAAAAATCCACAAAATAAAGGTTTAAAATGAAAACCACTTCAAATTCAGAATTTTCCTATGAAAGCATACTGTCTTTGAAGAAATGGATTTTTTAAAAGACTGTAGTTATGATAATAAAACAAAATGATCATAAATTTTAATGTTTTTACCAAAGAAGTTATAGAAAGAACTTGATTATTATTTAACAATAGGACTTTTATTCTGTTTAAATTATATTCAGTTTTAGTATAGTTACATCATTCATGAAAAAGTAGTACAATGTCATCCATTGTCTGCGTGATCTCAACATCCCTTGTGACTAATGACTGATACTTATTGTCTTTAAACTATTTTGAAACTCTGTAAATTGTAGGTAACTGATGGATAGTAGATTATCTCCTATCTGGTAAGGATTTAATTGATTTCCTCCCCTCCCTGCTATGGGAAACCCAATCTCTCTCCATTTGCAATTTATCTCACATCCCTTTACTCTAAATAAATGTGTACTGTTCTGATTTTTCCTTTGAGGTGGTTGATTCACCTGCCTCATTCCTACGTATCATGAGTAATATAAACTCTTCAACATGTGTTCATTTTTATGTGTATGGAGTCATGATTTTATATTTTTCTTAAAATTATCTGTAACAATACGCATCACTATAAAGCTACAACATTTCACATAGCTTTTACATTTCCTTATTCATTTAATAATTCATTTGATTTTGTTAGTACACTATTCTCAACATACCTATATTAATATAAAAAAAGTCTCCAAGACTAATGTTAAGACTTTTAGATATTCTTGAATTGTAATAAATCTTTACAAATATATCATTTTAATAACAAGTATCATAATTTAAAATTATACATTTATCAAACATCACGAGACAATAATCCTTCTCCCTACTCTCTTCCCTCTTTCCCTTTCTTTTCTAAGAGCCTGCTCTTAGAATAACCAAGAATGGAATTCATTCCATTCAGAAAGTATCTAGTTTACCCAAAAGGCTCTTATGGAACACTATGGCAAATCTTGCTTACAACAGAGACACAAACTTGGAATTTACATACGACACACATATACATGCACTTGGACATGCATACACACATAGTATAATCCCCTCTTGTTTTCTGCTTTTTTCTCCTAGAGAGAAATTTGAAGAATGAGAGATGGAATCTGAACCATACCTGATACCCAGATAGGAGACTCTACTACATAGTGCCCACTCCATGGCTCCTGAGCAGTCATCAATCCACATCGTCCATAAGGCAACTGTTCATAGTAACTAGCCACCAAATTCCAAGCAATTGTGCTAAAAGGTTGGCATGATAAAAGAGAAATACCAAACAGCTTATGATCAAAATGTAAATGTCTAGAAGACTATAGTAAATAAATAAATAAACAAACCTTATTAGAATTTATATTAGTAGATGTAAAGGACCAAAAGATGACCACCCAAAACAAGAAAATGTAAGTTACCCAAGTTCATTCACATTTTGAAAACTCTAACACTAGATCCATCTAGGTATTTCTAATGGTGAATTGCTAATTAAAAAACACAAATGTATATGGGGTATATAATTTTTGCTGAACAGTGGTGTAGCCCTACCAGTACCAGACATGCCACAGATTTGCGTCAGATACAAATAAAGGCTTTATCTATACCTCCTTTCCTTTTGACAGTCAGCCTTCTTAATGCCCCAGTTTCATGACATAAGTTTATGAACTTGACTCTGAGCTGCTGCAAAGTTTTACAATTGAGAACTCTTAGAGTCAGACTGCCTGCATTCAAATCATGGTTCCACCACTTAACCTCTCTGGACCTCAGTTTCCTCATCTGTAAAACGAGGATAATAACTGAACCTAGCTCACGTGATTATTGTCAGGAGTCACTACATTAATGCCTATGAAGTATATAGAACAAGGTCTGTCTCATCTACTAATGGGGCAACTTGCTGGTATGCATTTTAGCCCATTCTTTCAGAATTCTATAGCAGTACTGAACCCTGAAATAGTGACTCTGTGATTTACAGGAACACCCAAGGGGAAAAGGAAAGTTCTGGACCCTAGGACTGCTTGGTTTCTCACAGCTCAAAACAATAACAAAAACCCAGAGCTTACCCACAGAATTCACTTTTTCTTACAAGTCTTCACCCATCATAAAATGACTGTCTTAGGAAAAATCAAAGCCATCCAATACTGACAACACAGCATAGAAATAATAAAATCTTTAAAATCTTTTAAAAAAGATTTTATTCATTTATTCATGAGAGACACACACACACAGAAAGAGAGAGAGAGAAGCAGAGACACAGGCAGAGGGAGAAGCAGGCTCCGTGCAGAGAACCCGACGTGGGACTCAATCCCAGGTCTCCAGGACCACACCCTGGGCTGAAGGTGGCGCTAAACCACTGAGCCACCTGGGCTGCCCAATAGCTCCAATTTTCAAAACTCCTTTAATTAAGAGTTCCTATGATTTTACCCCTGGATTATAAGATGCATAGTATCTTCTCTGGCCAGAGATAGATAATAATAAACCAAAACTATCTGATGGGCATTTTGTTATATACACAGAGGTCTTTAAAATATACCTCAAACTCAGATACCTATTCCCTTTAAGAATATACCCTAAGGAAATAATTCTAGATGTGTACAAAGATATCTGTATACAACTGATCATTTCAATGTGTACAAAGCTGTTAACTTAAAATAGGAGCAACCTCCATTTCTGGAAGAGAAGAATACTCAATGAAATATAACATATTTTCTACATCAGTCCTTCCCAAACTTGTGTGGCATCAGAATCAGCTGGGGCACTGATAACACCAACTGAGTCTCCACAGCCTTCTGAAGATTCAGCAGATCTGGACAGCTGCCAAGGAATCAATACAAGTGTCTCAGGTGCTTCCTGAGACAAGGTAAGTTTGGGAAACCAAGTTCTATGTAACAGAATATACATAAGCACTAAAAAATGATGAAAAATAAGTACACTTAAATATGAAAAAAAGTTCATAATATCTTGTTAAGTGAAAAGCAGCTTATCTACTAAACATATAGTATTATCTTGATTCTATATTAAAATTTTATGCATATAAATATAAATGGGAGGACACACACCAATATTTTTAGGGATTGTTACCCCTAGATGGCAAAAATATGGGTGATTTTGTTTCCTTCTTTGTATGTATAGGCAGTTACTAAATTCTCTGTCATGAGTATGCATTACTTTTAATACCAAATTAAGTTATTAGAACCAAACTCACCATGATTCCCTTTTCTTTTAAAAAGGGAAGAAAAAGAACAAGGACTATAAAAAAAGAATGTATCAGCTCACATTAACATCACAAAAATACATATTGGCTTACTCTTGTTCTATTTATTATTGTTTTAGAAAGCAAATCTGAATCTAATTACAGTTAAATCTTCTCAAAGCATTTAAGAAAAAAAAATTAAAACCTTCAAAAGTTTTCAGTAACTTACGCAGTCATGTAGCCATTGACATAATTCTGGTTCAATATGCGACCCAAGCAGCCTGCGCCCACATCACTATTTAAAGTGCTAAAATCTTCAGAAGACCAAAGTTTCTTCTTAGTCAACTTCGCATCCTTTACTGTATGGGTCCCAGGATAATGAGCTCTAGGAAAACAAAGGGTGGAAATAGGAAAAGGCAGACGTGCCACTTTTATCTATTTGTTGAGTCAATAAACACGTGTATCTTCACCAGTGTTTTCTATTTTGAAACAATGGGCAGCTTGTGGGTAGATGTCACACCAACTAGAAGCTTCTGCTTCCCATTCTTGTCTCAGGATGCCCGTTAAGATGCAATAAGCCTACATATACCAACACACAAAATAGGAAGGAAGATCATCAGTGGATGAGATTTCTGTTTCTAGAAACCATAAAGTGGATGGAAGCACACTGACAGTTGGAGATGGCAGAGAAGGCCACAGCCTAGAACACCCTAGGAGACAGAATTCAGACTTTCCAGGGGAAGCAGAGAGCTCAGACAGTAGAAAAGAAGGAGTATGAAGGAAGCCAAAAATAAGACTAATGAATCTATTATATAAAGTAGTATTTCCTCCCCCACTCCTACCTACCCCTGAGTAGACACAGAGAAAGACAGCTTGGTATTTATTCCCAGGCAAAAACAAAAAGTCAAAAAACCAAAAACCCAGAGAGTTCTTCCTTGAGTAAAAAGAAGAAACTACCTTGGTTAACTACAAATCACTATCCCAAAGCAGTGGTGGTTAACTCTGGGTTAAGGCAGGATTTGCTACTGGCATCCAGTGAGTGAGCAGAGGCCAGAGAAGCTTCCAAATATCCTACAATGCAAAAGGCAGGTACTCACCAAAGAATTATCCAGTGAAAATATCAAAAGTACAAAGGTTGAGAACTCCTACATTATACCATTATTTAAGAAAAGTCAAAGTATGAATGTATATTTATTATTCTAATAGTAAAATACTACCTCAGTGATGATTTTTTGTCTTTTTTTTGATGATTTTAGAAGTTACTGACAGTTTTTAAGAAATTTCTAATGTGAAATAGAAAATAGATGGACAGTTAACACAGGAATAAGAGAGTACATTAGCTAAGTAACTTTAGGAACACGAGTGTATACTTTCTAGGACACAATTATTTACGAAAATTTTAATAACAATACAAGCAGAATGATGGGGACTGGATTACATCATAACTCTAAACTTTGCAGTTTGGTGTCATAGTATTCATTACATTAAAAAAAATATTATGGGGCACCTGGGTGACTCAGTAGGTTAAGCATCTGCCTTCAGCTCAGGTCAGGATCCTGGGTTCCTGGGATGGAGCCCCACTTTGGGCTCCCTGCTCAGTGGGGAGTCAGCTTCTCCCTCTGCCCCTCACCCTGTTCGTTCTCACTCTCTCTCTCTTTCTCTCTCAAATAAATAGATAAAATCTTTAAAACAATGATTATGATGACCTATTTTGGTTTTTAGTTATTTAATCCCACTTAGGTCATGAATCTTTCAAGAAAAAATCCTACTTTGGGAATTCATTGTACCTCATGAAGATGAATTAGGGCACAGCATCAATCTGGCATTTCAGGATTTCATGAGGAAGAAAAAATATGAAACACATAATAGAGGACATAAAAAAGAAGTATTTGAGAAAAATGAGGCACCATCAAGATGTTGTAGCATCACTGAACTCAGCTAAAAATAGGCCTCTAACTCCGTAGTGTAAACATACACTACAGAGACCTCAAAGCAAGCTAACACCTAACAGGGTTAAAAAATTATTACTCTGGCACTACAGTGTCCAACATGTGAAGTCTGTTACTAATCTTTGTAACAATATTTTTAAATTTTTTCCATTTTAGATTCATTCTTATATCCAAGAACTTCATTCTATGATCATGATATTCAGCCATATACTAATATTAAGACTCATCCAGCTGTTACTCAGACAAATGTATGCTTGGTGTATCTCTTCTCAAAATATACCTGTAGAAAAAAGTAAACTTTGCCTGGGGACACCGGGGTGGAATAGTTAAGCGTCCAACTCTTGGTTTTGGCTCAGGTTGTGACCCCAGGATTGTGGGATCAACCCCATGATAGGCTCTGCAGTCAGCCCAGAGTCAGCTTGATACTCTTTCTCCCTCTCCTTCTGCCCCTCCCTGCCCCTGTGTGTGTGTGTGTGTCTCTCTCTCACATAAATAAATAAATCTGTTTTTTTTTTTCAAGTAAAAGCCTGGAAAGTAATATGCTATTGTGTTACTAATGATCTCTAGATGTTAGGATTCTGAGTAAGTTCTATCTTAATAGATTTCTACATTTTCCAAATTTGCTATAATCATGGATTATTTTTATAATCTGAAAAAATATCCCTTTTAAAGTTACATAAACAGGCATTTTGTCCCTCATTCAGAAAACATTAACTGTTATGTTAAAACTGAGTGATTATTAAATGATCTGAGCAAAGAAGGGTAAAACTGACACTAAAATCTGGGTCTCTCTCAATGTCCAGTCCCACCACTAATTCAACAAAAAATGCAAAGGCTCCTTAAGAATATAATTTTTTATATATGTATAACTAGACAAAACCTATCATTTTACAGCATGATTCTCCAAATTTAAATGACAAATTAAGATTACTGAAAGTAACCAAAGTTATCCTAACAGAGGAACATGTTCATAATAAAAGAAAATTAGCAGTTAAGGACAAAGTGGATCATGGTAGCACCCCAGTTTCTGACAATCACCAGTATTCCTCCTAAAACCACAGAGATCTACTAAATACAGGAAAGGGAAAACCTACAGACAATATCCTCATCAAGACTAGGTGATGGAATGCCCAGGAGTCTTCTTGAAGCATCAGAACTAGCCCAGGATCACCAGATATGATGTGGAAACTGGAAGAGAGATGGGACCAGCAGGCAGTTACTCTCAAAGGAGCCCTACTCTGAGTGAAAGCATAAGAGAACAGTGGGTGAAACAGGGAATATCTTCACAGGCTGAAGGCATTCAGTTGGGGGTGAATAAAGTTGGGGGTGAATGGAAAACAGTGAATTCATTAAGAGATCTAATACTGTTGTCAGTTTAAACCAAAAGAAATATGAGGTGAGCAATATGTGTATAATTTGAAGTTTTGTAGCAGCTGCATTTAAAAAAAAGCAAAAGGGAAATTTTCCTGATATACTTTAACCCAATATTCACCAAATATTGTCATTCAACATGCAATCAACCTAAAAAATTATGAATAATATTTTACATTTTTTTAAATATCAAATCTTTAAAAGCCAAGGTTTATTTTACATACAACACACCTAAATTCAAATGAGCCACATTTCAATGTCCCATAGTTAACCGTGGCTAGTGGCTACCAGACTGGACAATACAGGTTTAAACCCTTAGCAATTTCAGTAATAGGTAGCAAACAATCCTGTCTGGAATGCGAGAGCCTCCCTATGAGAACAAGCTGCTTGATGAGAATCCAAATTGATTAAGGCAGGAACACTCGGGGTGAGGGAGAGACAACATTCAGGCAGTAGGGAGAACAGGGCCCAGAAGGAGCAGACCCCAGAAAGCCCTGTGACTGCAAAATAAGAACTTACACGGTGCAGGCCAAGTACAACATTAATGGGGCAGAGAGATCCACTCTTCCAATGGAGGTGGCAGTCAAAAAATAATACCTGAACAAAATCTCATTATACCACAATAGCCTAAATTTGGAAACAATTCAAATGACCATTGACAAAGAACAGATAGAAAAATCATGCCGTATTCCTATAACTGAATGCAAAAGAGCAATTAAAATGAACCAAGTCTCTACCTGGCAATATGAGTTAATCTTAAAACTACAATGTTGACCAAAATAATAGATACTCTAAGATGCCACTGAAATAAAGGGTTTTTTATTAATTTAAAATCTAGCCAACATATAGTACATCACTAGTTTCAGATAGAGTTCAGTAGTTCATCAGCTGCACATAACACCCAGTGTTCATCACATCACATGCCCTCTTAATAAAGTTTTTAAACAAGCATAATTAGTTTATGGTGTTAGGGCTAACATCAGTAGTTGCCTTTGGGACCAGGGGAGAAGCTAATGATTAGAAAGATTTCCAAGGGAAGAGCTGCTTAGATACTGATAATTTTTTATTTCTTGACCTCAGTGGTGGTTATGTAGGTACGTTCACTTTGTGACAATTCATTATGCCATATTCTTATGATTTATGTATTTTTATGTATGAGTGTATGTGTGTATGTTATACTTTGTTAAAAAATTTTTAACAAAATTTTAACAATTTTTAGACAACAGAGGTATATGAAACTAAAATGAGAGAATTATAGAATTATCAGAAAAAAACACATTTTAGAAATGAAGACAAGAAAAAGAAACACAAGATAGGATAGATACTATGGAAAACACAATGAGGAAAATAGAGGACAAAATTAGAGAACCAGGGGATCCCTGGGTGGCGCAGCGGTTTGGCGCCTGCCTTTGGCCCAGGGCGCGATCCTGGGGACCCGGGATCGAGTCCCACGTCGGGCTCCCGGTGCATGGAACCTGCTTTACCCTCTGCCTGTGTCTCTGCCTCTCTCTCTCTCACTGTGTGCCTATCATAAATAAATAAATAAATAAATAAATAAATAAATAAATAAATAAATAGATAGATAGATAGATAAATAAATAAATAAATAAATGAAATTAAAAAAAATTAGAGAACCAAACAGAAATAAAGAAATAAAGATGGTTTGAGAAAAATACAGAATAAAGGCAATATTCAAACAAGATCCAAAATGCATAACTGGGTCTCCTAAAAAGAAAGCCAAAGTAATGGAGTAGAATAATTATTTAAGTTAAAATTTAAATAAATCTTATTGAAATTAGAAAACACTTAAATACAGATATTGAAAAGGCATATGCTATATACCTGACAATGGTAAATAGTGTACAACTACTAAGCTTTAAAGTTAAGGAAAAATATTCTTTGGATATACAGGAATTTATAACGAAGAAAAAAGAAGTCTAAACAAGGATAATACACTCTAGAATGGCAGAACCACAAGACCGAAGAGCACTTATAGAACAGAGTCGCTCTATCCTCCCATATACTGTTCTGCACTTTTCTCAAGAAATAAGCATCTATCTTGTTT